GCCCTGCGGCCTCCTGCCCCTCTGTGTGCGAAGGCCACGCCTGTGGTCACCGCGCACGCCAAGAGGCCGGCTGCCGCGAGCAGCCCCTCGGGTTGGCTGGAGAAAAGGCCCTTTTCTCCCTCACCCCCGGGCCCCGGGGCGAGGTGGCGCCTTGCTGGCGGTTTTTAAGTTGCGGGCACCGTTGCTCAGTACTTGTCAAACACGAGACGTGCCTTGCGCCAAGTTTTCAGATCATGAGGAGCGGCTGTCTGGAAGCGAGAGGGAGGAGGATGAGGATGATGTGGAGGCCGCCCTGAAGAAGGAGGTTGGCCAGATCCGTGCCTCGACGGAGCAGAAGCTGCGACGGTTCCAGTCAGTGGAGAGTGGTGCCAACAACGTGGTCTTCATCAGAACCCGGGGCATAGGTGGGACATCGATGGATGCTGCGTAATGCCATGGGAATAAACTGCTCTGAACAGTGTTGGTAACAGGCCCCAGAGCGTGTCTTCCAGGAAACTCGTGTACAGCAAACAGTGTACAGGAGTGTTTCCCCTTCCCTTTGGCATTGCCACTGAATTTGCTCGTTGGTAGAGTTGCTAAAGGTAGCGGATTCTGCTTTGACAAAATCACCTTTGACTCTGCATTTTGGCCTAGTAAAACAACCCTTCACAGAAAGGGGTTTGAGGCTGACAGCAGTGCTGCCAAACGTGCATTTCCCCAGCTTATTATTTAGAGGGGGGAGGGAAGGGAGTGAAAAAATGCCTCCTGTTTCTCACACCTAGCTGTTTTTCTTGTAGAACCTGAGAACCTGGTGCACCATATATTAAAGGATATGCATGCCACTAAAAAGAAGAAAACCAGAGTCATTCTGCGCATGCTGCCCATTTCTGGAACTTGCAAGGCTTTTATGGAGGATATGAAGAAATACACAGAAACGTTTTTTGAGCCTTGGTTTAAAGCTCCTAGCAAGGGTACCTTTCAGATTGTTTACAAAGCTCGTAATAACAGCCATATGAGTAGGGAAGAAGTAATTAAAGAATTGGCAGGTACGTATGGATTTCACACGAACCAAGAACAGGTATATAGGCAGCCCACAACTGCATGCATAGCGTAGGTCAGGCTATTAGAAGTGGTCTTAATGGGCATCCGTATTTGTTGCTTAAAATCTGTTGAATTACAAAAGCTTCTCTAAGACACAAACGTCTGCGTTGATGTCTTAAGAGACAACAAACGAGCGCACAGTGTTGAATGTTGTTTGGGAGTCAGTTTTGTGTGCTGTCAGGCTTTCTGTGGATGCTGTGCTGGAATAACGTGTTGCTATTTTCACTGAATATGTGACTCGTGCAGTAGCTCCCCCTTATTTACCTATTTTGTTTCTTGGTAATTGCAGTGGGATAGTTTTTCAGTTACTCCGGTCCTATGGGGGGTATGTTCTGAGAGTCCTGTTCTGCTGCTTTCAACAGGTACAGAAACGAGTAATTGCTTACAGCTAAGGGGGATATTGCCTGCTCTCTCTTAATTTTTAGCCTTTCAACAGGGCATGCTTCTGCTCTGAAACCATTTTTCCAGCATCTTTTAAACTACATCTTGTTTTACAGGAATTGTGGGAAGCCTCAATCCAGAAAACAAGGTCGATCTTAATAATCCACAATATACAATTGTGGTGGAAATAATAAAAAACGTGTGTTGCTTGAGCGTGGTGAGAGACTATATCCTGTTCAGAAAATACAACCTGCAAGAGGTGGTGAAGAGCAACAAAGACGACGCGCAACAAAACCCATCAAGTCTGACAGAGGAACGGAACTTGAAGGCAGTAAAACCAGAAACCGAGGAGGAAGAGAGCTCAAAAGAAGTAAAACAAGAGAGCAAGGATCAGGGTGAAACAACAGCGGAGCCCAAGGGGAATGATGTGCTAACAGCGTAGAAAATGTTGTAGGAGTGAAAGATAACCCAAAACCTATTAAAAAAAGCTGCCCTAGAATTCTGCAGGGGCGTTTTAAAGATGAGAGTGGGTTTTGTTTTGAAATCTTGTTTTTAAAATCCACATGTGTAAGGACTTTAGTGCTCCTTGCAGGTGGAGCTGATGTCCAGGAGTGCTCAAGAGAGTGTCACCGCTCTGGTGACGCTTGCTGCCACTCCAGGGCTTTGTTCGGGGGCCCTTACCTAGCAGCGCACGCGTGTGTAGGTGGGTGTGCATGCCCATGCAAATGCAGCCATCCCGACGTGCCGAGTGCTGCCTTACATCTGCTGGCTGCAGGAACCAACCAGCAGTGCAGAATTGGCTCTGCCAGGAAGTACTGACGGAAGGGAGAGATCTGGGGAAGACAGTTGCCTGCAGAGGGTTTTTAGGGAAGGGGTCCGACAGCTTGTGTGACTGCAACACTCTTCTGTGTGAGCAACAGAGTGAGCTAAACCTGATCATTTCCTGTATGATGGAGAGGTTTACATGTACCTGTGTCTGTATCTCCCTCTACAAGGACATGCCAAGTCTCGCAAGTGAATGGGAAGAACTGCTACGGGGAAAATACTCCAGTACTTTGAGATGCTTCAGAGTAGTACGTCTGACTGTCCTAGAGCAGCAGAGTCGCAGGGCACACGTTGCAGATGGTTTTAGCCAAAGCCACGTGAGTGTTTAGAGCAGCTGTTGGTTTGGAGGAAATGCTGTCGCCACTGAACAGAACCCTTTTGAGTAATTTCCTGCAAATAGCCTTTTGCTGCTCGGTCCAAAGACTTCATCCTTTGGGGGGTTTTGTAAAAAGTCTTTGGTTTTATTTTTAATTAGGTCTCAAAATTTGACTTCAAATACTGTTTGGAAACTTCTTGTGCAAGAAGGCCTCCATTATACCCTATTGGATAAGGGGAGTTAAGTTTAATTTTTGGTAGTTGTAGCTTTACAGTATTATTTTTTTTCTTTAGGTTAAAAGTACTGATAGTGAGCCTTTCTGTTTGTTACAGCAACTCTTCTGAGAGCCTGGTGACTCTTAGAACAGGACCAACACCAGTGCAGCTATAACCTACTTTCCAGGAGGATTTTGAGTATGTTTCCTGTGCAGCTGTGTAGCGCTCGGTTTCATTTCTAGGACAAAAGCCTGTGGGTTGCTAATGGGAACACACTCGTCTTGAGGAACACCACTTGTCATTGTCTTGGTCGAATGAAAAGGATGTGTTCATGTCCCTCAACCGTCCTTAATTTATGTTTTCCCCTTCCCTCAAAGTTGTGTTAGAAGTTGGAAAATGAAGATGACTGTTTTCCCTTGTCCTGTCCCACCCATTTATTAAAACTCCACTTTCTTATCTCCATCGGTGTTTTCTTTAGATTTCAGAGCTTTGTGGGTGTGTTTTCAAACCAGCAGTGCCTAGGTCACGCGCAGGAAAACGATTTGAGACCAGATGCACAGGCCGACAGTGAATGTTGACTGGTGGCCGAGGTCAGTGGTCGTGATTCAAGGCAGCTTGCTTATCCTGCTGAGGACAAAGATAGACTGGTGGGTAGTGTGTGTTGGGGTGGTTTCCCCCTTACCTCTCTCTCATCTGTGTGCCTGCAGAACCTACAGCTCTCCAGAAAAAGCTGCTGAGAGCTGCCACTCATTTGTCAGGCCTGTTTGTGACGTTGGGGTGCTGCCCAGGCTGCCCTCTTCTCCGTCTGATTTTTCCTAATTAGCACTTCCTGAACATTCACTGTTAACACCTTAATTCCTAAATCTTGAGGCTTTCAAGAGTCATATAAAGAGGGTGCTTAATTGGGATGCGTGCAGGATCTATGGCCATTTTCTGGGGGCTTGATTCCATACCTCATTAAAAAGCCTCTCCTGAGTTAAGAGGCCTGGTCCCAAAGAGTGACCCCGCTGCTCCTTCCCCTGGTAATCGCTTCCTTCTCCTTGTACTGTGGTGTTGGAAACTGATAGCTGGCTGGAAGATGTGTCTGCGTGTGCCCTGTGAAGTGGGCTTGGGTTTTGTTAACAACGCCCGCATTTAGGCACCGAGCGGTTGGAGTTGCTGCGTTACTGCGCTGCTGCGTTACTGCGCAGGGGCTGCCGAAGGGGAGACGTACAGTCCTGTGCTGGTGCTAACGGTTGCGATAGCAAAGCTGCATTAGGAGCGAAATCGATAGGGATATAGGCTTTTTTAGGTTGTTCATCAGACCAAAGCTGCCCCCACTCCTTGTTCCTCAGTTCGTTCTGTCTGATTTTCCCAGTAATTGTCTTTGGCAGCTGCTGGACAAATTCAATCATCTGATTCAAAAGAGGAAAAAAAAGATTTCAATTATAAATTCTTTTTCAGAACAGCGTAAGTCTTCACTCCACTTATTTAAATCAGAACCTGGTGACTGGGGAAATCAGTTTGGTTTTAGATTGTGTTCTAGCTATTAATTCCCAAAATCATCTCTAAAATAATACTTGTCACTTTCTTGCACAGCACACATCTGGGCTTTTTTTGTTTGTTACTGCATTTGAGCTGGATCTAATCCTGTTCCTGGCCTTTCCCATGGCTAAAATAGGTATTTGGGCTTCTGTTTTTCTTAAGGCACTTGTGTTCACTTGCCTTTCTGGGGTACTTGTATGGAGCAGTGACTTTCTTGACATGGCCTTGTAATTCACAGGCCAGATTCTTTGGATCTTGTGACTTAAAGGAGGGAGACAAGACCACAAAAGCTTTTACCACCTACAAAGGGAGAATAAATAAAAAATACAGCATTAATTAAACTAGAACAACCTAAGCAAATGAGGCAATTAGTTGAGAAGAAGTGAGTATTGCCTGCAATACAGGCTTGATGTATCTGTGCAGCAGAGGAAAATCCGCTTCTGTGTAGGGACATTGAACATTAGGACAAAACCCTGTTTCTGCCTTACTTTAGTAAAGGTCCTAAATATTCTATGACCCAAGTTTCAAACTGCTACCGAAGTTGTAAGAGTTCTGTAAAGGACTGTTTTCAAGTTCTTAACTGCTAGGGCCTTTTCTGTAAACACGTAATGTAACTCTCCAGGCAGTTGGTCAAAGTGGACATCGGTTCTTACCTGTATACTCGTGGTCATGTTCTTCGGGAAACGAAGGATTATATTTACTTTTAATAATTCTTTAATGAACACACAAACTACTGCTCCCCTTGCTTTGGGTGAAGTGATGGAGAAGTTTGTACAGCTACATCAGGAGTCTTAGGAATTCAGTGGGCGTTGAGTATGATGAGCTGGGGACCACTCATTAATTACCTCTCCTCTGATGGGGTCGGGGCTGCTGACAGGACACTGCTGCTGACAGCCGACTCGAGGACAGCTGGGTGCTCTGTCAGGGCACTCTCTACTTCAAGTGGTCCGATACAATACCTAGGAGAGAGAAATAACATGCCTATAGATGGAAGGTGTAGGGTTATTCTTCCGAAATTTCCTGGCATTTTTAACAAATCTACAAACCCAGAGGAAACGATGACATCATCTCCCCATAAACCATATGTATCCATCCTCATCCATGCTCCCTCTGTCTCCAGTGGTATAGAAGTTCCCACGGATTGTGGAAGCAGTTTTCACTGGATCGTCCTGTTGAACAAGCAACATTCTAAATACTGAGAAGCCTTATGCTTAGAGATGAGTTTTGCCTCTTTGGACACTACCCGTAATAGCTTTCACTGCTTGTTTTTAACCGGACCCTCTTAGAGTTAGAATCATAGAATCACAGAACGGTCTGGGTTGGAAGGGACCTTAAAGACCACCCAGTTCCAACCCCCTGCCATGGGCAGGGACACCTTCCACTAGACCAGGTTGCTCCAAGCCTCATCCAGCTTGGCCTTGGACATTTCCAGGGATGGGGCATCCCCAGCTTCTCTGGGCAACAAAGGGTTGGGGTTGAGAGAATGCCTGGTGCTCCAGTTAGCGTGTGGCTGGAAAGGGGCTGCCAAAGCGGTGAGCTGCAAAGATGCCCCGGACTGACAGCAGTGCAGCTACGCATGTGCCTTCCAGGGCTGAATTTACTGAGGCCTCTGCATTTCCTGCCTGTAACCCCTCAGGGCAACATCTGCTCAGCTTGGAGGTGCCTGAGGGGTGGCTTTCATCACCTCTCTCTGCAGTTCTAAAGAAAAGGCGCTGCCTCCAGTACAGAATTTACACCACTCTGAGGTTCAGTGGCCGAGGGCCCGTAGAAGTGACTGTTAAAGAGCCAGGCAATAACAGCCTGAACAGGTCACTTCATTGAGGCACGCTACCTGGTGCGGTCATGCTGCACCAGCACGCGGTGGGCAGTGCTGGGGGCGCTGCACAGAGTGGTCACTGGGTATCTGCACAAGGTCTGGCAAGTTAAAAAAAAAAAAAGAAAAGGGTTGAACAATATTGTTTTCTGGGAAAAAACCTTGCTGCTGACTATTCCTTTCTATTCTATACTAGGGCATAAATGACAAGACCTGGTTGTAACCTCAGTGGAAAGCAAATTGTCATCACTGTCAGTGTATGGGAAAGGTGTTCGAGTGCCCCAGACATCAGGTGAGGAGGTGATGCACTGACGGTGGTACATCAGTGGTGTCCCTGATTTGTCCTGACGCCCACTTGAAGCACAAATACCATCCCTTGGGATGAAACCCTAGTCCTGGAGGGACAACGTTAAAGCCCACATCTCACTCTAGGATGAAGTCAGGCACCTCGAAATGGAGGCACCTAAACTTACAGGTTTCTTTTGAACATTTCGCCTGCGTCAGTCTTTTATCTGGCCCCACACTTTCTGAAGCAGACTGGCGCAAATCTTCAGACATGCTGCAATTCTCTCAGCTGTCCTGACAATGGGCCTGACGCAGAGAGCCAGGTCACCACGAGCTCTGGCTGAGCTGCGAGTAATGCACTACGAAAAGGTTGTCTGGGACTGGCAAATTTATATATCCCTCTTTACCGGGGGCAGAACACAGGACATGAGTGCCTTGCTAGGAAAAGAAATCTCTCAGCTGAG